TCAAAGATATATTATCGGTATCACAGAAATATTATCGATAACAAATAAATATTATCGATATCGCCGCTTCCCTCCCAGCAGCTCGCGCCGCTTTTTTTGGGGTCTGGAGAGGGGAAAATCGGGGCCGTTTTTTATTTTTTTTGAGAGGCTGAGGGGTCAGCGGGGCTTTGAAAGCGTCTCCTCGTGACGAGAAGAGCGAGGCGGGGACGCATCAGGACCCGGCTTAATTCTCTTTTGTAATTGCTCATCAAGGCTTTGATTTCTCGCTCCGAGCACCGGGCTCCCTTTTTTGTTTTTTTTGGTTTTTTTTTCTTATTTTTTTTTTCCCAGCGCTGCGTGGGAAAAGCGCTCAATCTCGGCGGCGCCCTAAATGTGATTTAGGAGCGCGGGGACCCCGAATTAGCTGATGAATTYCTTATCGATCCTAAGCCCGTCCTATTCATCTCTGCCAAGCTCGGGGCTGCGTGTCCCTTCCCGGATCAACTAAGCCGGGAATAAAGCTCGGTCTAAACTCGGGGGGGGCTCCGCTACGGATCTGGGGATGGAATCAGCGAGCGAACCCCACGCAAAAAAAATAATTTTTAAGTTATGAGTTAAAAAATAATAATTTTTTTTTGAAGGAGGAGGAGGCAGAGTGGGTTTTGCTGCTCTCTCCGTGTCCCCTCACAGGACACACCCCCGAGGGGTGTGGGCGAGCTCGGGGGTGTCGCCGCTCGCCCTGGGCAACCCCGCGGAGCCCCGGGAACGGAACGGAACGGAACGGGAGCCCCGGGTCACCTCCCCGGGGATGTCGCGGGGTCCCGGGAGAAGCCGGCCCGGCCACATTTCCTTATCCGGGGCTCGCCGTGCCCCTCGCCATTGGCCCGCGCTGTCACATGGACTCAACTTTGTTCACTTGACAGTAAAGTAGGAGGGTTCCGCCAAACAGCAAAACGAGCAAAGGGGGGGGACACGAATAAATTTTAGGAGAGAGAGAAAGGCAGAGAGATAGACATATATATATATTATTATTATTTCTTTTTTGCAATTCTGAAAGAAATTAATGGCCATGAGCTCGTTTTTGATCAACTCCAACTACGTGGACCCCAAATTCCCACCCTGCGAGGAATATTCCCACAGCGATTACCTTCCCAATCACTCGCCGGAATTTTACGGCAGCCAGAGGAGGGAGAGCGCTTTCCAGCATGGAGCGATGTACGAGGAGCGCTCGGCCTGTAAGGAGCAGCTTTACAAAGCCTGTCCTAA